TTTTATTTCTTGTTCGAGATACAAGATAAGCTGTCCTTTTTGCTGCAGCAGACTGACGTGGCCAACCCTTTACAAATGGACCCAACCGGATTTTCTTCAATGAGAAGCGGCTAGGCAGCTTTGTCATAAGAGGGGGCTGTGAAAAAAGCTAGCTTGTTGGTATTGGGGTTATTTCATCCTTGTATGCAGCCTTTATTAGGTCTGGCTGGGAGGGCCCTTTCTGGGCTGGGGTGACTGCCCATCAATCGAGCAGTAACCAATGATTCCTTCCCTGCCTCTGAATTCAAAGAGAGCCCCGCCTCTCTGCTTAAGTGTCTGTTCCCCTCTCTGTCTGCTGGCTGTTAGGGAGCAGTTGGCTCTAACTTTCAATATCCCACTCTGAAAGATCAAGGAAGAAATTAAAGACATATAAGGCAACCTGTGACACCCCAGAAAATACTCTGTGATGCCCTTGGGGGTCATGACCCTTAGGTTGGCAAACATTGCTCTACAAGTTGCAAAACTTAAGTGGTCATTTTTAGAAACTTCAGTGAGGAAACAGCAACAACAAAGCAAAATGTGTTGTTGATATATTGCCCCACAGTCCTTAAAGCACTCTCTGGGTGGTTTACAAGTTAATTATGCAGGCTACACATTGCCCCCTCCCCAAGTGAGCTGGGCACTCAATTCACCTACCTCAGAAGGATGGAAGGTTTAGTTAACCTTGAGCTGGGTACCTGAATCCACTGAGAGCAAACTCAGGTGAGCAGAGTCTTCACCGCAGTACTTCAGTTTAACCTCTGCACCATGAGAAAGAAGCACTACTAAAAATTAAAGGAGATGGAGGGGTTTTCCATATTCGGAATGAGGCCTTGGGTCAGGGTGGGGGAAAGGGGTGGATTGCCCAGATACCAGGGTTACTCACAAACCTGGCAGGCAGTTTTACACAATGGTCGAGCTACCTATTCCCGGAATACATGCTTTTCCAAAATGACACCGTTGGACTTGCATAACTGGACACTCCCCGTGGATCTGCTCTCCAGGAACACTTTCTGCAACGGATTGCTTGTTTGCACAGAAATGCAGCCGCACCTGGTGGCCGGGGCCCTCTTTGGCATCTGGCCATTTTTATTAGCAAAATTAAATACTTTTCCATTAATGAAGCAATCAGACCCAGGAACCCTTTGCACCTGCGGGAGACGAACCAGCCACTGCCTCCAGGCAAAACTTGGCTTTTTGATTCACTGCAGGCCGTTAATTACAGCGGCTCTTTCTTCATGTTTCCTTTCTCTCCAGATCAACCCCTGTTGCTTGAGGCTTGTTCACTTACATTTTTGCACAAATACAAACAACGGAATAGGAACTCCCTTATTTATCTAGCTTGCATTTTTAATTCACCGAATTCTGGTTGCTTCAGACTAATCACAGTTCAAATATTGTTTAAATCCTTTTGCACACATATGCCCCAGTCCATCTAAGGAAATCCGTGCAGTTCAGTCATCCTCCGGATAGACAGTATACATCTTGTCAGTCAGACTCCTTGGGCGTAAATACTGCACAGACACAACTTCACATCAAACATTCACCTCGTTTGACAGCGGAAACTGGGGCAGCCGTCTCCAAGGGAAGCGGTCTCCAAACATTTGGGGGCCAAACACACTGATCGTGTGTTTGAGGGCCCTTCAAGACATGGAGACACAAAAGACGTCTTTTATGCCCTGATTTTTATTTTTTTGAGTATAGAGGTGTTAAGGGGCTGGGACTTTGCCCTTCGCTTGCCATGGTTCGATACTAAGCAATCCGGGCGGTTATATTCTGGGGAGGGCCTTCAAACTTTCTACTCTACATCAAGTGAGGGCTCTCTGACCAGTTTAGCGGAGACTTCTAAACACCTTCCCCAAACTTAAAAATACAGGATTTTGTCAAACGGAGCCATGGCAATCAAGTACAGTAGCTGTGATAGTGGGGTACAGATACAGGTTTCGGTCACCACTGTGTACAGCTCATTTCTCAAGCAGAATCCAATGGCAGCGGGGCAAGAGATTGACTCCATGTGTTTGTGACCAATTGTGCATCGATGTTGCACAGGGATGGCCCTTTAACAGAGCCTTGAGTTCCATCACTGCACCCGGCAGAAGGCTGGGATCTTTGGCTGGGAGAGTCCTATAGAGCAGTCGTTCTTAACCTTTGTTACTCGGATGTTTTTGAACTGCAACTCCCAGAAAGCCCAGCCAGCACAGTTGGTGGTGAAGGCTTCTGGGAGTTGCAGTCCAAAACTCCTGAGTAACCCAAGGTTAAGAACCAGTGCTATAGAGCACCAGGATTTTCTAACAGAGAAGTATCACACTATCTTAGGACCAGCCATCTCAGTCAAAGCTGTTCCACTAGAACTGTGTAGTTCATATACATCTGACACTTAAAGTAAAGGTAAAGGTTTCCCTTGACAATCTGTCCAGTCATGTCTGACTCTAGGGCACGGTGCTCCCTCTAACCCAGGGGTCTCAAACATGTGGCCCGGGGGCCATTTGCGGCCCCCCAGATGATAGTTTGTGGCCCTCGCCTTGCCTGCCCCCCAAAGCGCCCACACATCCTCTGCTGTCAAGAGTAAAAAAAAAAAGCCTTGCCTCGCTCGCCGGCTCTCTCCCAAGATAGCACCTCTTGCACCCTCTATCCAGAACTGCAGCCTGCACCTGTCTGTCAGCTAAGGAAACTCCTGGGCGGCTTCCTCGGGCTCTTGCTCCACTTGGCAGAAAATCTGATGCGGCCCAGCCTCACCCAGACTCTGTCTCTAGCAGCCCCCAGGTAAATTGAGTTTAAAACCCCTGCTCTAACCCATAGAGCTAGCGTTTGTCCGTCTTCTGTGGTCACGTGGCTGGGAGGAATGCTGTTACCTTCCTACTGAGGTGGTACTTATTTATCGACTCGCATTTTTACATGCTTTCGAATGGCTAGGTTGGCAGGAGCTGGGACAAGCAACGGGAGCTCCCTCCGTCACGTGGATTCGATCTTACGACAGACCTTGCAGCACAGAGACTTCTGCAGTTTAACCTACAGTGCCACCACGTCCCTACATTTAAAGTAATCTGACACTTAAAGTAATCTGTGTCAAATACGCATCCACACTTCGGCCACCATCCACATCTCCCCCAGTTAAAATCAAGGAGAAGTTTCTCCCTCGAACATCTATGAATCACAAATAGCGATGGGCATGAAGCGCTGGTTTGGCGATTCGTCCCAGTTCGTTTACCACCTCTGCAGCAGGTGCCCGCTTGGACGCAGCCCCTGGAGGAAACAGGACAGGGAAGTCAGGACACCGCTTCTGAGCGGGTGCCCGCTGGAGGGGGCAGGGTGCTGAACTGCCCAACACCTTCTGCGGTGGTAAACAAAGGGGAACGAACCCCACCCCCCCCCCCCCGAATGGGTGGTTCGTGCCCACCTGTAATCTTGAAGAAACAGCAGAGAATGCCAGGACTATCTATCTCTTAGAAGGGTTGGGATCCCTATCCCAGGGACTCTTCCCTCCCTGGCTGCACTGAGAACACACACTTTCCCAGGGTGTTCGCAGAAGAAGGGAATGGGAAAACACTTCTAAGTACTGTACTTATTCCCTTAAAAACTCTAGGAAGGGTTGCCATAAGTTGGAATCAGCAGCATGTGTTATTATAGCTGGCTGGATAGCTCAGTGGCTTAGGTATGTTGGGGGTTCGAGTCCCGACTTTGCCTCTTTTGCAAAAAGCGCCAGACTGGGTGTCCTCGGGCCAGATGCACCGTCCCAGGACAACCCCAGAAGAAGGAAATGGGGAGCCACTTCTGAGGATTCTCTACCTGGAATCGCCAGAAGCCAGAACTTCTGTGGCAGAGGAATGTTTCTTTTATCTCAAGTGGGCTGATTAGATTAAAAAACTGCAATTGGCATCTGATGGTCTAAAAACTACTTGTGAAAAATCTGATAAAAGCTTAATGTTTCTTAAGATCTTAAGATCACAGAGTTTGTAGTCATCAAAAATGTCAAAGGTTGATAATAGAATTCTGGAATAATGAAGTTGGAAGGGGGCTATGAGGCCATCGAGTCTAACCCCCTGCTCAGGGCAGAATTTGACCCTCATGGGTGTGATCCTGAAAGATGCTAAGAAGTTTCATACCCTCTGCTATGGGGATGGACATCTACAAGCACTTCCACTGTACAGTGGTGCCCGGCTTGACGACGATAATGCGTTCCGTTAAAATCGCTGTTAAGCGAAATCGTTGTCAAGCGAATGAGGCCATCGAGTCTAACCCCCTGCTCAGGGCAGAATTTGACCCTCATGGGTGTGATCCTGAAAGATGCTAAGAAGTTTCATACCCTCTGCTATGGGGATGGACATCTACAAGCACTTCCACTGTACAGTGGTGCCCGGCTTGACGACGATAATGCGTTCCGTTAAAATCGCTGTTAAGCGAAATCGTTGTCAAGCGAAAGTAAAAACCCCATTGAAATGCATTGAAAACCGGTCAATACGTTCCAATGGGGGAAATACCTGCTTGTCCAGCAAAGATCCTCCATAGGAGAAGCCATTTTGCATCGCTGTCTTCCAGAAATAGGTCCGGAAAACAGTGGGGACCCATTTTGAAAACTCAACGATCAGCTGTTTTTAATCGTCGTAATGCGAACAAATGGTTCTCGAAGCAGGGAACTGATCATCGTAAAACGAAAAAAACACATTGGAATCATCGTTTTGCAATCGCTATAGCGATCGCAAAAAATCATTGTCAAGCGATTTCAACGTCTAACGGGGTAATCATCAAGCGGAACACCACTGTACTGGGAAAGGCTGATGAGTTGACATGATTTCTCACTACCTATTTCTCCACCTCTTTGTCCAACAACCACAACAATCCCCCAAAAGGCAATGGTTCAGGATTCTAGGAACTGTCGTCCAGAATCGCTGATGACCTGAAAGGTGGAGAACCACTGCCCTGTGAGCCCTCCTTGAACGTGTGCACCTTCATGACCCTTCTTGGGTCCCTCACCCTCCACTTACACAGCATGTTCGTCACCTGCCTCCGCCTGGCTTTCTTCTGCTGGAGGCGGACGTTGTGGTAATCGCAGCTGTTTCCCGACTTGGCCTCGAGGGCTTCCAGCATCTTCTCCTTCCGCAACTGGAGGCCGATGAGGAGGTACAAGACGCTGATGATGGCCATGGGGACGAAGAAGAAGACGATGGTGGTGACCTGGATGATGAGATTGTAGGCGAAGCGCGGCTTCACCAGCGTGCAGGTGGCCGAGTCTGGGACCACCCCCCAACAGGGCACGTAGAGGGTCTGGATGCCGTGCAGGCTGGTGTTCGGGATGGAGCAGACCACGGACAAGACCCAGAGAGCAACAATCACCCTCTTGGCGTGGTTCTTAGTCACCACGTACTTGGCCTTGAGAGGGTGGACCACAGCAATGTAGCGCTCCACGCTCAGCGCGGTCACATTGAGGATGGAGGCGAAGCAGACCGCCTCGAAGAGCAAGGTCTTGAAGCAGCAGCCGCCAGAACCCAAGAGGAACGGGTAGTTGCTCCACATCTCGTAAATCTCCAAGGGCATCCCCACGAGGAGCACTAGGAGATCCGAGACAGCCAGGCTGAAGAGATAGTAGTTGGTGGGCGTCCTCATGAAGCGGTGCCGGATGATCACCAAACAGGTCAGGGCGTTCCCCACGGCACCGACCACGAAAATCAAGAGGTACGTCGTACAGATGGGAACGAAGAAATCCGTCCGGCGGGGGCCCAAGTACTTAAACCGGAGCTGTTCTGCGGTCATGTTGAAGACCTCAGGGTCACAGTAACTGACGTTGCCCTCTTGGTCGCTACCGTTGCAGAGACGCTCATAGGCCGGCTTCTTGAGCGCCTCCAGGCTGGAGAACTGCAAATCCAAATTAGAACAGTTGGCAGCGGAGTTCTTGGGCTAGAAGGAGAGAAGAAGTGTAAGTAAACTGGAGGGAGAAACTATTGGAGCTTTTACAACCCCGCATGCTGCCTGGAGATGGGTGTGGCTGGGAGAGAGTTTTCTAGGCTGGGGTGACAGACAGTCTATCCAGCGCTACCCAATCGTTCCTTCCCTGCTTGTGAATTCAAAGAGAGCCCTGCCTCTTTGTTCAGTGTTTTCTCCCTCTCTTAAACCTGTTGGAAGCAGCAGTCTGTTGCTGAAGGCACTTATGTCTGTCAGTTTGCTGCTTGATCTGTTCACAACTGTAAGTAAAGAAAATTGTTTTCATTCTTTCTACTACCGATATCTCAGGATGAGTTAATGAGAATATAAGTGCTAGTTAATTAGAAAAAGACTGGCTGGCATGAAAGAACTTGAAGCTATTCTGCTTTGTCAATTTCCTGCTCCACCCTTTCACAGCTAGAGGAATTTAACCAGAAATGCAGAACTCGGCAAAAGAAACAGGATGGACCATGCAAGCTAGGAGACCATTTGCTGGATCTGAAAGGGGAACATAGGTTGACACAGATTGCCGTGTCTATGCTCACATAGAACTCTGGAGGCACGTCAGAAAAGTCGGCGCAAATCAGGAACGACTCGGAGATTTGAAAAGTTCCCTTTACCTTGTTTGGACTACAAGGAGCCAAAAGGGTCTACGTATAACCGGGGGTGCCCCTCCAGATGTTCCCAGACTGCAACTCCCATCATCCCCAGCTACGGGCTACAACAGCTGTGGATGTAGCCGTGCAACACCTTGAGCCACATGATGGTGCCCACGAACATGAAGACATAGTAGTGGTCCGAGGGAAAACATTGTAGATCAAGCATGGCTTCCCAAGATGGCACAGAGGCAAGTTGGTGTCCATGTACCAGTAAGACTGAAAGATTGTTGACTCCCCAATGTGTTTACCCTCTAGAGCAGGGGTCTCCAAACTATGGCCCACGGGCCACATCCAGCCTGCCTTGCCGTTTTATCCAGCCCGTTCCCTTCAGCCCGTGTGTGTGCACGCCAGGGATGCAGACAGGGGTGCATGTGTGCATGTGTCTGTGCATGCGTGCATGCATGGGGTGCATGCGTGTGCTTGCAACCACGCATATATGCATGCATGTTCCTGTTCCTTCAGCCCTCAAAAAGGCTGAAAACGTTTGGAGATACCTGCTCTAGCGTAGCAGTTCTTAACCTTTCCTTTAGCAAGGACCCCCTTTAAATATCTTTTGTTGCCACAGACCACTAAGGCTTAACTCAAGATTTAAAACCCCAAAGTGCACCAAATATTTATTCAAGAAAGGTCTTCAGATTTGGAGAGAAGGGAGAAATAAGTTAATCTGTTAATTCATACACTCCTATTATAATATTTAATTGGAATGACTCCACAAATTTAAAATAATAACAATACTTACTATTCTTTCTTTCGTTCCTTCATTCATTCTTTCTTTCTTTCTATTTTAACGGCCAAAGGTCATAACATTTCTTCAAGCCTTCGGGTATGCCCTATGAGGACATCATGGCACACAATGGTTAAGAACCTATGCTCTAGAATTTAAGCCACTAGGACATAAATCTGATGGTTGTTGTGGGTCTTTCGGGCTCTTTCGGCCAATGACACCAGAGCACAGAGTGCTGTCCTCTGAAGATGCCCATGGCCACAGAGACTGGCGAAACGTTAGGAAGAACAACCTTCAGAACACGGCCAAAAAGCCTGAAAAAAACCACAATAACCATTAGATTCCGGCTGTGAAAGCCTTCGCGAACATAAATCTGAATTTGTGACTCTATTACAACCCAATGCTAACAGGTGTTAGTTTGTGGGAAAATAGGGTAAGACTTGAAAATGTCCTTTTAAAAAATTACAAGTCCCTTTTTCCTCTGGCCAACTAGGGGGGAAAAAGCGAATTTTCTAACTTTCAACCTTCTCTATGTATAGGAGCAGAGACCAAGATAATCCACACTCTTGCATGTCCAGGTGCGAACGCTGGACAGTAAAGAAAGCAGACGGGTGGTGGTGGGGGAATGGATCCGTTGGAAGTGTGTTGTTCGAGGCGAGCTTCGCAGATACCGTGGATCGCCATAAAGATGAACAAATGGATCCTATATCAAATCAAGCCAGAACTTTCTCTGGAGGCAAAAAATGACGAAACTGGGGTTGCTCTACTTTGGACACATGGTTAGAAGCCGGGATTCTCTGGAAAAGACAATCATGCTGGGAAAAGTGGAAGGCAACAGGAAAAGAGGAAGACCCAATAACACGAGATGGACAGACTCCCTAAAGGAATCCACAGGTTTGAATTTGCAAGAACTAAGCCGGGCAGTTGAGGATAGAAGATTTTGGAGATAAAACCGCCATAAGTCAGAGGCAACTTGACGGCACATAACAATGACTACAACCACAGAAGCACCATGACAGTAAAGAGGTTTATGTGAGTAGACATGGTCTAGAGGGGCG